CTCGTAAGGCGCGGTATATCGGCGACCGCCTCGGGTAACCCGCTCTGGTGCGCGGCAATGATGGCGAAGAGCTCCCGCGATCGGAGGACGTCGCTTGCAGTCATATTGCGCTCTTCTAGTGAAACCTTCAGTCTGCACATATGTATTTATGGAGGTAACCTTCCGAGACCCTATAGAGTGTCCACAATGTTGACGCTCGAGGGCCTCAGATTTCCGAAAACAGTTTATTCTTCCGAAAATTGTGGGTGCGCATGGGAAATGCTCTGCCACCACTCATGGAGCCTACATTGGCGCGCACTACAGGCGGTGAGGGGCGCGAACCACGGGCGGCGCTACCGGTTTTATCGTTGCGCTGACGATCAATTTCAGGCGTAATAATCTCAGCAGTGGAAAACCGAGCTTTGCGGAAAAAGAGATTTCCGGAAAACAAACTTTCATGTCTGCACAAATAGTCAAGCATGGACCATCCTGCAGCTCGGGTTATCGTCGCGGTCGTTCAAGAGGACGAGCAATCGCAAGGCCGGCACTTCCAATCACGTTTATTTCGACTCTTCGTTCACAACCGTTCACTACGGGGATTCAGTCGACTTGAATCCACGGCTTTGGTGAGCCCCGCCGATGTCTTCCCAACTACAATATACGGACATATACTTCAAAAGACGCCGACAATAATACTGGATTCATATTACAGCGAAAAAAGGGAGCTGGCTCGCTGCATGCTGCCCGTGGCCAAGTACTGCAACACGCTCTTGCGTCGCATTTGCTCGGCTGCACCTTGCACCGCGGGTGTGCACGCGACACCGTACGCCTTGTGCAAGTGACACACCATCTCGAAATGGCCAGAAAGCGTAGCGTGGACCATGCAGCGCTCCGCCAGCAGCGGATTCAGGGGCGTTCGAAGCGGATAGGCTTGCGTAACAAGCTTGAGTATGGCAACGCTGCCCGTCTTGGTGGCGTTTTCAAAGAGCATCTCAGCAGCGTCGCGGCAGCCCATAGCCTTGTGCGGTGATTCGTACCCGGTGAGGTCAGCCACAACATGGAGATGACAGTTGGTGATGGCGTGCGAAAGCGCGAGAGAGCTCCAGCGTTGTCCGTGGACGCTGCGTAAATGCGAGACGACAGGCGCATGGCCTTGCACGACGGCCTTGTCGATAGCTGTTGGCGACAAGCGATGGCCGTGGGTGACCAAAAGTACAAGAATGTCAAGGTGGCCTTCATGCGCTGCCCAGTCGGCGGCTCGACCCGTGACGTAGTCGCCATTGCCACGACCGAGGAGCCCCCCGGCACCCCGCGGAAGGTGCGCGCGTTGAAAGCTGCCTTCGCCACACGGATCCGTCACAGAATCAACGGCCCCCAGCGGCAGCGGTAAGAGTTAATGTACCAAGGTCCTGTTGCCCAAAAAGGCAGCGGTGGCCAGCGCGGCATGTGTCCGGGGCCGTCTGTTGACTTCGTGGAGCCATCGCACTGCATCCAGATGCCCCCGCGCCGCCGCCAGCGCCATGGCGTCCTCGCCGCAACGGTCATATCGGTAGGTACGGAGCCACTGCAGCACGTCCAGATGGCCGTTGTAGGCTGCATTCGCCAATGCGCGCGTTGGCTTCCACCGGATTCGACTGGCTTGCAAGAGCTCGAGCGCTGCCACGTCACCATCAAACGCGGCAATGTCCATAGCGTCGCAGCTCGCCCACGCCGACGTCTTTGTCACTACTGACTTGTCGACGACGTCGAGCACGTAGCGGAGCATGGCGTGATCACGCATCGTTACGGCCAAGACGAGCGTACGAGCTGTCACTTCGAGGTACCCGCGATGATGAAAATGGGACAGCGCGGGCAGGCCCATACACTGGAGTATAGGCTGCAGGCTACTTTCAACAAGTCGCGTCCTTGTCACCGCCAAATCGATTGCGTCAAGGTACTGGGCACCGTCAACGCAATACGTCTTGATATCGTCGTACGGGCTACGGTAGAGCAGCCAGGACTCCACGGGCTCGGTGCGATGGTGAAAAAGAAAGGCAACAATTGCTGCATGGCCGTTGGCGACGGCCGCCGTCGGCGCCGTCATCGTGCAGCCTTCGGTTCTTGTTTTATGTAGGAAGGCGACAACGTCCAAGTGCCCGTTCATCGCCGCACCGTCCATTGCTGCAGTCGTACAGTTCGCACCAGCTTCGTGCAGCCACCGCAAGAGCGTCGAATCGCCTGCCATCGCCACGAGGTCCATCATCTTTGGCGTTGCACGCTCGGGATACCGTTCAAAAAGCTGGCGCAAGATCGAACCTTGGGACGCGGCCGCGGCGAGTTCAAGGGTTGCGGACGTGACGAGTGCGGGGTTGTAGTGGAGCCACTCGTCAACGAGCGAGGTATTCCCCTCGACGACCAAGAGGTGCAGCGCCAGCGCCGGATCGAAACTGGTTGACGACACGAAGAGCGCGTGTGTCGCTAGCTGGGTCGTCGGGAGATGGTACCGCTGAAGGTACGGCAGTGACGTAAATCGCTTTTGGACGTTGGTGAGGTAAGCTTCTGAACGGTCGCTCGAGCGCGGCACCAGCACGAGCTCGATCGCGTCGACCATCCTTTGAACGTCGGCAAGAGCCTCACGCAGTCCATGCTGGTAGGAGAATATGGCAGCGAGTAGGTCCTGTGCCCGAAGGACGTTGGTGGCCATGTCGAAAATACCACTGGGCTTCGTGATGAAACCAGACTAAGACCATCATGCGCGCGATTAGTCCAATGTCGACTGAGTGAAGGTTTTGATACGTAGACACCTGTTGTGATACCATCTGTTAACGTGACGAAACCGCAGTTACCAGACATTATTGATTTAAGAAAATTGCAAAAGTTTTGATTTGCGGTCGACAAGCCTCCCGCCTGCGTGACCAACCACTGCAACGCGTCCATGCAACAAGCTACAATACATACCGGTATGACACGATCGGCACGAGGACACGTACCGCCGGGAGTCATCGTACGCCTCGCACGTCCTCGCACGTCATGCTCGCACGTAAGGATCTCGTCCCCGATCACAAACGCCGACGGCACTGCTGGCCCTAGCGTCGCCAAGAGCTGAAGCACGCGTTTTCGGCGCCTTTGTCGCGCGACACTTTCCATGCGGAGCCATATTTCTGCACCAGATACTTTAGCACCTCGAGGTGGCCATGGGCGGCCGCACGAGTTCTCGCACCTGTCAGGGCTGTAAATCGAGTGCAAACGTCGTGACCGCAAGGTCCAGAATCGCCACGCCGCCGCGTCGGGCCGCATACACGCAGAGAGTGTCGTGGGTGTGGTCATCATCTCGATCGTAACTACTGGTCGACCATAGCGCGCGGAGTAAAAGAGCTTGGGTGACAAAGTTTATCGAGTGACAGGCAAAAGCGCGTCAACGGTCGAGCCGCGCTGGTCAAAGACGTCGTGGAGGTAGACCATGGGGAACGCGACCGCACTAAACAGCAATCTCCTTGGCCACAGAGGCCACCACGTAGCCATTTGCGACGAGACACTGAGGATCTCGAGGTGGCCATGTCGAACAGCCCAGTTGGTCGGCCAGCGGTCAAAGTACTCGCCACGACAGCTGCCACGATAGCCATGCAGCGACGGCATCCTTGCGTAGCGACAACCCCCGCGGCCGACGCGATCAAAGCAGCGCCGCTTGGCAGCTATTGCACAAGGTACTGTGCGAGGGCAAGGTTGCCCGTGGCTGCTGCGGACGCGAGCGCGGCGTGGTTTGGCGGCCGTAGATGACTACTAGTACGCGCTAATAGACGGCGCCTGCGTGCCCACGCACTGCGGCGAGTACCACTGCGTCGTCCGAGCAGCCGTCCGTTCGATGCGCAGGGAGTCATTGAAGGCCGCGTAAACCATTGCACGCTCCGTGGCGCACCAACGACGACTGGCATGGAGTAGCTGGATCGTCATAAGTTCGCCCTAGGAACGCTGTCGAATCCATTGCGGTGCAGTCGCCCCAGCAAATTGGGTCCTCGACTACATACTAGTACTCTTCGGTGCCGTCACTGTCGTCGAAGGCGTCGTCACCATCGTCGATGTCATCCAGCGGACACCACTCGACGACATCGTTGTCTCGATATGACGCGTGTGCGTCACACACAATCGAGAACGTAGGAAAGAAGGCGGAGCACGTTCGTCGCCAACCGGACGACTCGCCAATCGTGTTTGCATTGGGTGGCACCACTGTGTCGTCCGGTTCGACCAGCCAAAATGCCCCTGCAAACACTGCATCGTGCCAGCCAGTCTCGCCACATTCTCGAATTTCATACAAATGGTTTTATTGTTTAATGCTGATTGACGCATATCCGCGGCGTCCTTACATGGGCTGCACACGCGGGTGTCCGTCGACCATGACGCGTCGACGGGACCGATCAAAGATCTCGCGCGCGAGGGCCACGTCCCCGAGCGCGTACGCCGACGGCACCGCCGGGCCCAGCGTCGCCAAATACCGAAGTACGCGCTTTCGGCCGTCGTTGCGCGCCGCGCTCTCAACGGCACTGGTCCATGCAAAGCCATGCGTCTCCACCAGATACTGTAGCATCTCGAGATGTCCATGGGCGGCCGCACGCACGAGCATGCGCTCTTGCACCCGCCGGGGCAGATCTCGGAGACAGTCGAGGGCAAAGGTCTTGGCCACAAGGTCGAGGATCGCCACATCGCCGCGTCGAGCGACATAGACGCAGAGAATGTGCACGTCCAGGGCCCGCTCGTCGACGTCGTCCGTGGCCGCCCAAATAGTGTGGTGCAAAAGAGCATGCGTGAGCACGCTGATCGAATGATGGCACACGGCCTTCGAAAGCGCGTCAAACGTCGAGCAGCGCTGGTCAAAGACGCCGTGGAGATAGACCATGACATCGAGATGGCCGTGCTGTACAGCGTCGTTTATGGCCACGGGCGACACCACACAGCCATAAGCCACGAGACATTGAAGCACCTGTAGGTGGCCTCGGCGAACAGCCCAGTCGGTCGGACGGCCGTCAAAGTACTCGGCCATGTTGAGTTTGAACCGATCCTGCGAAGGCACACGCAGTTGAAGCACGGTTGCGTCGCCGACGTCATCGCTCGCACCTGGCAGCCACGACAGTAGGTACTGCACGAGCGGGAGGTTGCCATTGGCCGCCGCGGACGCGAGCACGGCATTGGTCAGCGGCAGCTGATAGACGTTCAAAAGCCAGTAGACAACGTCCGAATGTCCACGCGCGGCCGCCAGCGCCATTGCGTCGGCCGAGCAGCCGTCCTGACGATGCGCATGGAGCCATTGGAGCGCCTCGAGGTGGCCATTGCAGGCCGCATTCGCCATTGCACGCTCGGTGGCACCTCGCAGCCGGCTGGCGTGCAGCAGCTGGATCGCGGCAAGATTGCCACAAAACGCCGCCGTGTCCAAGAAAGCGTAGTCACGCCAGCGAGTCGGAAAGCCAAACCTGAGATTGTTCTCCACTGCATTTTCGTCCTCATCCGGCGGTTGCCACTCGCCAATGCCAGACGCATGCGCTTCGAACAGAGCGTGGAGCGCAAATGAAAGCATGGAATGGTCCTGTCGCAACAGCGCGACTTCGAGGCATTGTGGCGTGATGCGCTGGTAGCCGCTCGCGTAAATGTGCTGCAGCGCGGGCAGCCCGAGGCGCTCGATGCTGGTCAAAAGAACGTTTTCATGCAGCGTTGTGGTTGTTGTCATGATCAAGTCGATGGCCTCGAGGTACGTTGTTCCTTCTACACGGTGCGTCTTGTGGTCGCTGTGCGGCGCATCGTAGTAGAGCCATGCGTCGACGCGCTCAGTGCGATGGTTGAAGAGATACCGGACAATGTCGGCATGGCCGTTGGCGGCCGCCGCCGTGACTGCCGCCACCGTGCAGCCTTCGGCTCTTGTTTCATGTAGGAAGACGACGACGTCCAAGTGGCCGTTCATCGCTGCACCGTCCATTGCAGCGGTCGTACAGATCGCACCAGCTTCGTGCAGCCATCGCAAGAGTGCCAAATCGCCCGCCATGGCCACGAGGTCCATCATCTTGGGCGTTGCAAGCTCGGGATAACGCGCAAAAAGCAGCCGCAAAATGGCTCCTTGAGATGACGCCGCCGCAAGCTCGAGCGTCGCTGATGTGACGAGCGTCGCGTCATGTCGAAGCCATTGCCGGACGATCGCCATATGGCCTTGGACAATCGAGAGGTGCAGCGCCAAGGCTGGATCAGCCACCGTCGGCGACACAAAGAGCGCGTGCGCTGAAAGCTTGGTCGTCGGGTCGGGATACCGCTGAAGGTACGGCAGCGCCGCAATTGCCGCCGGGACGTTCACGAGGTGCCGTAGGCGACCGATGCTGGGTAGCGTGAGGTGCACCGCATCAGCGAGCATCTGGACATCGGCCATCGCTTCCGTGAGTCCGTCTTGATGGGCGGTGATAGCAGCGAAGAGGTCCGACGACCGCAGCACCGTCGACGCCGCCATGCCGCAATATCAAGTGTCGTGGGGTTGTCACATCATCCGGATCCGGAAAAGGATAGAAAGGACCGTGTTGCGATCTTGAAGCGACGCGACATCGACAGCTTTAGCAACACCAAGGAAGTTGTTGCAGAAATTGTACTACTGGCGCAGCTTGATGGTACTGTCAAAGTATGCAACCACTACCGACTGCCACGTCATTCGGTGTTGCTACGGAATCGGTGTCGACCAATAGGACGCCGCTTGTACACGACTGGCGCACAGCTACAGCGTAGCTACCATAAGTTATCTATGTAATGTACTCTCGAATTTTGTATCTCTGGCCTCTCCTTGGCGCCCTGCGGGCGCAAGTCTCTTCGCCGCTGCCACGCCTTGTCAGCTCGTTCTGACAGGTTATGAGCCCAACTACGTACGACCTCCAAGGCGACACGGCGAAGACCACCGCGCCCCTCTCCACGGCAGAGAGTGCCCGAGACGACCAGCGCTCCCAACGATGCGCCGCGCCGGCGGCCATCGACCGCGCTCCCACTCACCGATCAAGAGCGCGCAACCCAAGAACAACTACAAGGCGTCCAGTTCGGAGCCCACAAGCCCGTTGAGAAGCAACGGCCCGCCCAGCAGCGGCTAGAAGGGGAGCAGCAACCAGTGCAGCTCGCCCGCGCACTCGTCAACCAAGTGCCGAAATCGGCAGGAACCACGGCCACGAAGCGCACGACAACGGCAACGACGACAACGACAACGACAACGACAACGACAACGACAACGACAACGATACCATCAAGCATCCCGCGCCAACCAACGAGCGCGGTCGACAAGCAGCGCACGACGCGCATCCAAGACCCAAGGACACCATCACCTACCGGCGCCCGTAACAGGGAGTCGGTACAGCTCAAGGACAAGTACACCTACCGGCGCCCGTGACAGGGAGCCCGCAAGGTATACCACGGCGAGCATGCACGCACGCCCACGAGAAGACTGGCGCAGCCACCGCCGCGGCGATCAAGACAACCACGTCCCACCAGTGAAGAAGCCGACGGCCTCACGCCGCCACCAGACCGCCAGGACGGAGCATCGAACGCGCCTTCCCTTGTCGCCGAAAAGGGGGCAGCATGGCCGCGCTACGACGCGATCCGACGACAAGGAAGACGCTATCACCTCGGCCCGCGAGACGGACACCTCAAGCCGCGCACAGGCGATGGCTACCCGAAGCGGCGCACACGTAGCCTTTCGCGGCCCTCCGCCGAGGACGCCGCGCGACAAGAACATCGACTCCGCAGACGCAACGTCCCGCCCGCGACGCAACGCACGGCAACCGCCACAGCGCCCAAGGACAACGAGCCACAGCTTACGCCGGCGTACAAGCCCGCGCAGCACGAAGACTCGACAACAGCCCACCAGGCAGCAAGACCAACGCACCGACACGCACGGGCACAAGCACTCACAACGAAGGACGCCACCACTAACAAGACGTCCCGGCGCAAGCGCGACGTCGGAGAACACCGCGCCCACGAAGGCCACAACGGCATGAGCGACCACATGCATCGCCTTTTCAACACCCGATGAACCAAACGACACTCGGCGCCCAACCAAGACGACTGACGGCGCGACCGAGCAAGACGCCGTACAGCAAGACCCAAGGCTCTCCCTCTCGGCCACACCGATTCAAGGGGGGTGTCAAAGTATGCAACCACTACCGACTGCCACGTCATTCGGTGTTGCTACGGAATCGGTGTCGACCAATAGGACGCCGCTTGTACACGACTGGCG